TTAAGCAATAATCCCGTAGCCGGCTGATCGGGCACTCGAGCAATCTGTTACACGGTTTGTCCCTCCTACACAGCGCGGCCAAGTAAACGGGTAGCTCGGTTGCGTTCACGGAGGCGTAAATTGCGTAGGAATAATAGAAGCTGATCGCTGACACAATGAACGACATTCCCGCGCTTGACAATCACGCACTCGACGGCATAATCGGCCTGTGCAACCTTTCCATCGTTAGCCACTTAATTAATTTACCCCGGGCAACATTCCAGCCCATTATATCAAGCCCCCGGGGCATCAAACTGCCTAACAGCTTGTTTCCACTTGTTTTTACGCAAAAAGAAATCTCTCTCGGCTATCCGTTCAGAAGTTCTTCAACGCTCAACAGTTTGCGCCTTTTTCGAAACGCTTAAACGAAACCTTTCGCGGAATTTCGTATCTGCAGGCGTGCGTTAGACTTTTTAACTCGCGAGAGACCGAGTAGGTGATAAAAGGAAGTACAATTTTTCGAGAATTGACAGGTTTATGTCGGTGTCTTCTCTGAAAGACATCATCGCATCGGGAGAGAGAAAGAAAAATAAGGTTTAAACGGTGTTAGCTAGACCTCGCCACTGCCTAAACAAGAAAATTTATAGACTGCGTTCGTTTCGCGGAACGGACACTTAGCGTCGCTTCCTTGTCGAATAACAGTTTCAGGAAATCTAAATCACCGTTTTCGCGGAAGATCCTCGCAATTATTGCGTATCTTCCTTAACGTCGCGCGAATGTTTTTCGTCGAAAGGCAGTGAAAACGTGGCGGGTACCGCGTCAAGTATTCGGAACATCGATAAACGCCAAGATCGCCTCTAAATTTGGCGCGGTCGAAGCAAGTTTCCTTGATCGGTCTGGACTTTGGAGTTTGTTGCTGATGAACGCTGATGGGATTTCGTCGAAGCGGATGCACCAATTCGCCCGTCTCGCGACAAAGAAACGGGATCCTGCTTGAGCTTTGCTTGAGAACCGACCTTGTCGCGAAATCATCGGCCAAGCTCGCCGAGTGAACAACCGACCGATTAATTTAACCGATTAATTCAGCTAGCTGGTCGGCGAATTACTTTCATTCATTAATTGTCCCTCAGCTTCGAGCGAATTGCATATTATCCAGAATATCGTTTGACCCGCGCGGACTTTCGGTTTAAATAACTATTCATTAGTTTAATTGGTTCGTTAAAGGGTTATATTGTCGGGACGATTAATTACAGTGGAAAATTCGACGGGCTACTGTGGAGGAAAAATATTTTTATTTTGGACAAGATTGTATCGTTTTGAAAGAAAGATTTGTGCCTGCATGAAGTATTTCTTGGATATAGTATAGTATAGCTGATTTTAAAATAACTTAATTCTTAACAAAAAAATTTCATTTCGTAACGAGAAACCTACTTTTAATACAGCACCTGCGTAAACAACTCACGATCATATGATTAATGCTATACAGGGTGATTCATCGAACTCTGATGTTAAATAACTCGTAACCGATTTGTTATATGAAAAATTGTTTCAGATAATTGTCGTATCATACCAGAGGGAACAGTTTTTTGCTACTTTTTCATCCAACTACCTATGACTCGAGTCACTCGAAGTTTCTCGAACGAATTACTCTACAATTCGCAAAAATATCGAACGAGCAGTAAAAGCCTAGTAATTACCGAGATATTCCTGAAATCTTCGCTCGAAAATAGAAGATTCCTAAGAATAAGTCGGCTAATAAAATCCTCTCGTCTACGTTCGGTAGTTTATTATCAATTCACCATAAACGTCTATCGGCGACATATTTATACACTTGCTAACAACTCGCAATAGTCACGTGAACATTTTGTTAAGACGCACTACTCGCCAAGCTCTACCGAGTAGCGTCTGTCCCATTAATTCCGACTGTTCAACGTAACCGCTTAATTAATTACCCGCGAAGCAATTAATTCGCCCATGCCTCCGGCTCGGGGAACACGGCTATAAAGGCTCGACTATCTATGCGGGTGGAGAAAAAAAAGCGTGTACAGTTTCGCGTCGTTCGCCTAGAGCAGAGAGGGGTAGAGGATCAACGACAGACAAGCTGAGCAACAGATGACTTAAACGGATCTCTCCTCGTTTTTGCATGTGACACGACGTCAATTTTTTGCTCTTTTCCCGCGATCGTGTGAACCAGAGAAGGTTCACGTGACCCATCAAAGCCCAAGTAGATACACACACAGACTCGAGTCATTTTTGTTCGCGACAGCCGCCTCTCTGGCTTTTGACCCCGGACCTCTTCTTCTTCTCTTCCCTTTTCTGCTGTGTACGAAATATATCCGTGCACGGAGGAGGATCGAACGAGAGGCAGCAATCGAAAAAGGCGGAATACGATACGATTGAAGGTTGAAGCTCTGCTCCATGGGGAACTACTTGACTAAAAGGGAGCAACCTTGACCAAATCTCTACGTCGTAGAGAGAGAAACGTGGGATATTTTTGACGGGTGAAACTGTGCAGCGGTAAATCCACTCGGAATCGAAGCTCTTTTTATTCGAACACTCGTGTTATTTTTGTATCTACTTTTCTACACGGCTGATTAAAGAAATGTTTATTCGGTGACGTAATCTGGCTACTTGACATTAATAGTGACGTAGCAGACTCTTTGTAAGTACAAGAAACTCCGTTAGTTTCACATGAGAGAATAGCCGTTATCAAGTTTGCCATGTTTTTTCAACACAGAAAAGAGGGCTGTTAAATGTGGGGTTGATTAGGTTCAATATGATACTCCGTTGAATTTACTTGTGATCCTTAATCTCGACAGATGAAAAACAGTATTGAACCGCTGATCAAATGCAAATTCCAAACTTACACTCCCCATAAAATTTACATTTTTTCATTCACACCACAATCGATACGAAGCAGGAAATTATCTCCACCCAGTAACTCCGAGAAAATCTTTTCCAACCCGTGCAAAGAGCGTGAAGAATCTAATAAAATTTCAGCAATAATGCTTCTTGCATCTCTAACCACAACAGGATCTCATTCAACCATCACTTCGATCCAAATAACAACTGCAGCACCTCAGAAAAAGTACTTCCTCTCATTACGCAAAAATACAGCCAAGTAAAAACCGTAGACGTTCTCTGTATCATTCGCCCCGAAAGAACATACCCAGCTCTAAGTCACGTCCACGCCTTAATGGCAACGTAAACTACCTATCCCGCCGAAGGAAACGACGTTCGATCGACGAATATCCTCTATTTCTCCGTTTCTTCTCGCGCGCTTCCGCTGCCGCGAGAGTGCAACACGGAATAAGGAAAAGAAGAAGAACGGAGGGGCAGAAAATTCTGAGTCACGTAACGTTGTTGTAGAAATAGTGGGAGGATGACGAACTGCTTCCGCGTCCGACGACGACTCGTTTTTAGAAGCGGCGTCCGCGGCGTGCAGCGACGTGTGTCGGGGCCGATTGGAATCCTCTGTTTGCGCGGCGCAAATATCGGCTCGATGGCGGCGTCGACATGCACCGGTGCATGCATCCAACGATCCACCGGTCTATACACACCACTTAGAGAGGACGGGGCTTACATCGACGCGGCCGACACGCTCCAGAAGAAATAATTGCACCGTGGATCCCGTGTACGCGGCCACGTACAAGCTTTTGACTCTCTCGCGAATCAAAACCGGTCGCGCGCGCCTCTTTCACCCGTCCCGCGGCCCCTTTAATTCGACGGGCCGAGATTCTGGAACAGGTGTACCAATTTAGGCGAGCGACGAGAGTAAGAGGGAATCCGACGAGATAATAAGCCGTGATCTCCCGCAGCCGTTTGCCCGCGATACCGTTCACGGTGACACGGTGCGTCGTGTCGGGGAACATTCGGGATCGATTTCTTCGATCGGGAAGAGTTAAGCGTTAAGACTGACGGAAACTTTCTGGCGTTCTTTGAGACACGTTTATGTTGATGTTTAACGTTGCTTCAGATTCTCAATTGGTTTGAGTTTTGTTACCCTGATTTGAAGTATAAGGATAATTTGAATATTACAGAGGAAGCAGGAATACTATCGCGGTAAAAAATTTGGGTGCCATTTTTGGAGAGAAGATTGTAAATGTTAGAATAGTGCAGGGATAATTTGCAAAGTTTGAAAATTACGGAAAATTCCGTTTTTTCTTGAAAATCGATTTGGAAGTTCGACGGTAAATATGTTAGTGGATGAGATACATTTGCGTCGCAGCATCCTTTAAGAATATTACAGAGGAACTAAGACTGCCGTCGCGATAATTTTGCAGAGATAATTTGCAAAGTTTGCTCTTTTTCCTTCAAAACTATTTCAACGAAAAGACGGAAGATTTGCAAGCAAAGGGGATTGATAAATTACGAAAAAGATTTAGCATAATCGCACAAAATAACAATTCCCTGTCCACGAGAACGAATTTGCGAGAGACAAGAATTTAATAAGATTTCGCGTCAGATCCAAGTCGAGCATTACGTTGAAAGGCAAATCTCGAATGAGAAAACTTGGCCTGCGCTTTCGGGTGTCATTCAAGGCGTTTAGTCGAGGCCTCTAAAACAACTGTACCGCGGTAGGCAAAGGCGTGATAAAAAGAAAAAGAAAATCGCGAAAACAAGAAGGCGACGAGGTGGACCAGGCAGTCATGGACGAAACGTGTTTTGGAATCTTGCACGGCGATCATGGCGTCACGTTCAATTTGTTGTGCATGCTCTCGCTGAGAGCATCGATAAAGTAGATGATCGATTCCTAAGTGAACCGTGTTGTGAGTTTTGTCGTGTGAACGAGATCGTATTAACGCTTCATTAAAAACGTCGCTTACGCTCGACGATGATTGAAATCTCCGATCAACGTTTAAAAAAAAAAAAAAAACACGGAATTTCCCTAATGTTGACGCTCGAACGAGAATTACAGCGCTATCTCTTAGGCTATGAAAAAACATTAGACGTAGGAAAGAGAAGCGAACTCTTTCGTACATCTAACAACTTGATAAAAGAAATTCTTCTGAAAGACTCACATTGACTTTGGCGAGATACAACTCCAATTCCTTGTAAGGATCCATCTCCGATTTAGCAGCGGTCAGCACCTTGCCACTTTCATCACCACTTTCCACTATTTTCAACTGATTCACTGTTTTCGAGCTGTGTAAACCCGACGCGACACTTCCTTTCGAGCCATCGACCTGCAGCCCGCCGCTGTCTTGCATGGTCTCCATGCTCAGCCGTCACCTTGACCTTACGTGCATTTTCTTGTGCACCTGTAACAGAAGTAACGCGACGATCAGTGTGACTCGCGTGAGGCGAATTAAACATGTGTAATAATTAAAGGGAAATTCGTGAAATGTTCATACGAGCCAACTTGGTTATCGAAATTACACAATTGCGCCTAAAAAATAGCAATCGTTCCCTAAAATTTGACGAAACAGTCCGTTTCTTTCGAGGAAATAGAAAATACTACAGTGTGTAAAATTTCGGTGAAATATAGCACCTCAAAGTTCAACCACTCTTCATTGGCAGAAAAACAAGCGAAAGTTCTGAATCAATGAGTGATTTATAAGCTCTCCAGCTCACAAAGCGACTCCCTGCACCCTTTTAATCCATATTTGCTCTTCAAAGGAGGCTATAATTAATATCATTATCGCCGGGGATACAAATTAGCGTTTGAAACGATGAAAGAGCAGAACAAAAGGAGAAAGAGATAGAGAGATCTGGTGGATACCTACGGGCGAAAGGATTATAATTAGTCCTAGTGTGACTCACTACTAGCCTCGCTGCGTGTAGCGGCTCGTATAATCCCGGCTTGTCAAACACTTGAAAAGGGTAAAATGGCCACCTGCGCTGTTATGATTGCATTTGGCTAAATTTAGCAGAACCGTACGCGTTAGTCACCGGCGCTAATTATATTTCGCAGATTAGTCTGCCCACCGAAACGCGAGAAGGCTAATCTGAAATTACCGATTGCTGCAACTCTCCCTGTCTCCCTCTCTACATTCGTTCCCGATCATTTCACATCGTTCGACTGATTAACGCTGGCAAACACACCCACGATTCTCTCTTGTCCTGTATACTCTCGGCTCGACGATCTATACGTTTCGTAACCCTTTCCCGATCCACGAGGAAACTTCGTGCAAACCACCTTATCGTACGTGGATTTCATAATTATTCCGAAACCGTTTCCCTCTGAGAAACGCTTGTCTTTATGGTTTCGTCCATTTCCACGGAGGGAACATTCGCACGGGTAGCACGTTCCTCGGCGAATGGCTTTTCACCGAGTTCCATCAGCATTTCAAAGTTCAACGGGCCAACGACGCGGAGTCTCTATCATCCAGAAGCTTGAATCACGATCGAACGATCTCTACCAGCGTGATCGTGTGTACCGATTGTACAGACCGGAGTGAAGTGGGGGATACTTATAGCACATGATGCCCCCCGTTTCATTCAGTGAACTCACTCGACAATGATGTCATGCAGGAGAACACGAATCGCGAGGGTCCACCAGGGCTTACCTACTAGACACGTAATATTAGAAAATATTTCGCCGGATGTCTGGATCGTAACAACCTGTCGGCACCCAATATGTCAGGTGATTTCACAGGTGAACGGTGATGCTCAGGGAACGTCACAACGATTTCATGATTTCCACGTGAGAAACCTCGCGGCCAACCTGGTCCAACTTGTAACAGATTCTTCCGGCAGTGTTTATGAGAAGAAAATGAGTCGCGGACACGCGAGTGTAAATAGAGAACCATGTTATACGGTTATTCGTACATTGGATAATTTCAGGTACGCGATAAATATGCGGTATTATAATTTACCGCTTTAGTTCCACGTCAATTAGCGGATCAATTTTTCCCTTTTCGTATCGTGTTCGCTACTCTTCAAATTTTCATCGGTAGAAAATAATTTCATGCAAGATTTATTTATATATTGCAAGACTTTAAACAGGAATTTTTCAATTTCTTTGCTGCCTCGGTGACACGAATCCAAATGAGATGCGTATCATAAAATGACTCGCATTCTCCTCTAAAATTCGGAAAAATTTTCTAACCTAACCTAAAGACACCAGGTAAAACCATCGTCATCCTGCACCCCTTCACTCAACTCAAACTACTTCGAAATGCAAAAATCCCCATCAGATAATTCGTCCACTGTTGATAAATCTATCGTTAGATTTTGCCGGTCTACCGTGAAATTAATTGATCCAACTTTTAATTAGACCTGGCCAGCGATCGGAGACAGCGGATATATAACGATAATATAGGGTAGAAAGTAGCGGTACGAAAAGCAGAAAAGATTTCGATGCGTGGTGGTGGTGAAACTCTGTCCGATGTCTCGTTGTTTGGTCCGCGTAAAATTAAGACATTGAATGATGGAGAATACGTCTGGGTAATTACACAAGCCGACGTGAACGTGTGCGCTCGCTCGCGTGCCTCTACGCGCGTCGTTGGAACGCCGTGCACGTTCGAATCGATTCCGCAAAACCGTGATTAGCCATGCGTCCGCCGTTGTATATCTGCCTGTCGGGGCCTGTGTGACGCCCGTTAACTATCTCTGACGGCAATATACAACATCGATATTTAATTAATTTTTACGCAATAATCAAAACACACACGTATACGCCGTGCACACACGTTCGTACGGCGGGTCCGCCTGGTTTCGTAGACCAGTTTCTCGATCGACGTTGATTTATTAGCGGGAATACGATTAGCGTCTCAGTTTCAACGGCGGCGACGACCGTATATTTGTCGCTCGAGGGAAAAGTAGGAGAAAGAAAAACAGATAGAAAAGGGAGAGAGAGAGAGAGAGAGAGAGAAAATGGAAAAACCTGAAAACTGGTGGTTGGCGTCGGGAAAGCTTTGTGTGTCGAGAGATTTGGGGCGCCATAGTGGCGCTACTTTGCCCAGACACTTGCCCTGAAACACACTCGCGTAAAAGATCCACACTTTTGTAAGATCTAACCATCGAGGTGTGAAGTCTCACAGGATCGTGCAAAGATCACACGAGTAAATTACCGGTAATAATTTTCAGAGTCAGATAAGAACGACACACGCACGTCTGTGTCAGACTGTTTGTTTTTCTTTTTTTTTCAATTCAGTCGAATCAACTGGCCGTGTCCACAGTGGTCGAGAATGGCATTTGCTCGGGGTGAGGTATCGATACCACGAGGCATCGGTATCGAAGCTATTTGCCAGGCATTCTGACGCCCCTCGCCTCCCTATCGCGAGCCACAAATTCCCACGTCCCACGCTGTCCCACCGGTGACAGCCAGTTGTCGACTGGAATTTCACCGGCTGCCGTGGTTTTCGCGCCAAACGAGAAGTCGATTGAAACCGACCAATTGTTGGATAGCGGTTCGACACCGAAATCGCCAGTTTCCACCTCCGATGTGTCCCAGATGAGGAGATTTCACGGGTTTCCTGGCTTTTACACAGGCGTGAAAAGTGTCGACACGCGCTGTTGAGTTTTCACAAACGGGGCGTTCTAATTTCGAACGAGGAAAAAAGATCGCGATCTTGGCTACTCAAAGAGATATTCTTTGTATACGGTGCTTGTTTATAGGTGTTTTAAGACACTTATCGAATGGGAAGTAGGTACTATAGAGATTCAAGGTGTATTTTATCACGCTTCTTGTACCTATTTTAACTTTAATTCGTGCACGATAGAAAGCGTGCTAATAATAGCATCGTTAAACATTGATCGCCGACGTGAAAATAAGGGAAATTGCAGGTGTTATTATATGATCGCTTTAAACAGCTCGAGACCAAGAACGCGCGAGTTCGTGGTCCCATTCACCTGGGGTTTGCACACCTGTACAGTTGAATTCCATTTACTTTACGAGAGCACTGTAAAAGAACGCGTGCACTATAAAAACTTTCATTTCCGAAGATACGAATTTGAAAAGACACGATACAGAAGAATATCGGACGAATAAAACACGTAGCATATTCATTACGGTAACTGCCATAAAATACACGTCCGGGATTTATCGGTTGCAAAATTTTCATTTTACTCTGGTCGAATCAATTTTTATAGAGTTGTTTTATTTTTTTACGAGCACACCTCTTTCACATCGTAAAACGTTTTAGTAAATAACAACTGAACGAGATTTCTCGGGATTGATTGCTTTTTAATTGATTTATTAAATGTGTCAAAAATAAATTTATAGGAGAATTCTAAAACTACACAAATCAAAAAATACCTGGTTTTACTTTATAGCGAGAAAACGTAATAATTATCCCTTTACATACTGATAAAACATACTAAATCAAATCATAAGAAATAAAAGACTTTTAGATTCGATTGATTCGTTAACTTTTTTCACTATATTTGAGGAAAAACTTTAAATTCGATGTCTAAAGAACCATTATCTCTGGCAGCAAGTTTTTGATCACTTTTACTTTTACACTTGGAAGACACAATTATGTTTTGCGTATTTAATTTAAAAAAAAAACACTGTATTGGAGAAAGTAGAAAGCAGAACAACGACTGAATCATTTTTGTGCGCTCGATCTAGCGTGATAAAAAAGCATAACGAAACACTTCATCCCCGTTGCGTTGAATGCAAAATATTACAGCCGGCCGTAATTCCATTCGCGATACCTCTATCAAGGCTATTTAAATCGGCGTTCATTGCTGACCTATCGCCGGCCACAAATTCCCACGTCCTACGCCAACATTGTCAAGCGGACACCAGCGGTAATTTCGCCAGCAATTCCGCGGACCATACGGCAACGTGGAACAACTGGTGAACAAGAACGATCTCCTTCGCTCGACAAAGATTCGCAGATCGCATCGAAAACAAATTCACCGTTTACGCTTCCGCGTGGATCGCCGAAAACAGCGACCTTTTCTCGCGACGGGCCAAAAATGGAAATTCAGCCTAATTTATTGATTGGAAAATTGTCAACTTACCGAGTGAAATTTTTTATTTTCGGTAGAGGTAAAAATAAGTACGTTTTCTTACAAGAAAATTAAACAATTTAATTTAACTTGTTTTAATTCTAAAAAGTGTTAATATTGACAGTTTTTATTTAGAAAAAATTAAGAAAAAAGTAACTTTCAGTTCAAAAATACTAAAGAAATTGCGATTCGTGGTGAATATTACGGAGTTCCATACATCTTTTCTCCGCTATATTTTGCACAAGGTTCATTCACAAGAGATCATCTCATTCGCTAAAAAATCTAACGCAATATAAAAACACGTTCCCAAATTCTAACCCCATACGATCTTCAGAAAATTTCTCAT